ACTGTCAAATGGCGCCGTTGCCGGGGAGTGGCACGGCATTAGTTTAATTTCTTCTGATTAGCTTGGGTGAAGATTGGTTAGAACGATCTTCTCACTTCCTTTCACCAACCACCCGTAATAATTATTATGGATAACCCTAGTGGTTATTACGGTCCGCCTTCTTTCTACCAATCACCTAACCGCCCTCCGTTTCAAACCCATCCACCTTACCACCCGCATCAGAACCCATACGAGGATGACTACCAAGTCAACAATGGGTCTGACTACTATCCCTACCATGAGGAACCACCATATTATACCCCATCTGAAAACTTTGGATATTCTCCGTACCAAGACTCTGATGGGGAAGATTATTATGAACCTCATGGTGATCACGATGACTATGACCGCAATGGGCCTATATACGACGATCAAGCTGATCCGCTCGTCGAAGAAATAATAAGATTAGAACAGAAAATCTTCTATTTCGACGAAGTTTTATTCGCTGAAGGCTCCTGGTATGAACCACCCTACTCCCGTGACTATACCCTGTTTGCCGAAAAACAAATTGAAGCAAACAAGGTGGCAATTCGAGAAAGAGCGAAACTTCTCGAATCAGTCCGGAAGGAAAAGGAGTTCGAAAGGAGATTATGCAATGGATCAGATATGATGCAGAAAATGCTGGATGACTTCCAAAGAGAGAGACTAGAAGCCGAGGCTAAAGCTGATAAATTAGTCAATGATCTCTGTAAGGCTGTTGAACCTAAACGCTCCTTCCAATCTCAAGATCCACAATTGGAGGAAGTTAATGCTCAAAACGAGGCTCTAGAACCCAAGACCAACCCTGAACCATCCAACCATCAAGTGCCACTTCTAGAGGATTTACCCGGTTTTACACCATCACAGAAACCCGAGAGCATAACAACTCTCGCTAGGGCTACTGTGGTGATGTTACCTAAATCCCTTCCTAGCCAAGTCACAACTAGCATAGTCGTACATGAGGTGGAACCAATTGAGAGACCTAACTCAAAACCACCTACGCTCATTCAAGAAAAGGAGGAGGAAGTTTTGCCTCCAGCAATAAACAACCATCTCCTTAATTGTGTTCAAGACACACCTCCAGAGGAACCTGTTCTGGAGAAAGTAGAACCCATTACCTGCCCCCAAGATTCAATTCAGTCCGAGCAGGAATCTACAGACAAGGAATTACGTTGCTCTGATGAACTAAATTCGTTTATAGAAACATGCACAACTAATAATTCATCTGAAGCCTCAGACCATACTTTCTTTGATTCCCTACTTGACGAGTATGACTATGTCTGCTTGAAGGATGGTTGGAACTTAAAGAGTTGGGATGAACTTCTAATGAGTGACGAAAAGGACTCTTCCTTGGGGGAGGGTACGATCATAATCATCAAACCACAAATGGATAGTCAGCCAATTGAAGATAAGGAAGAAATCAATTTCGCAATCAAGGCTAACGATGTGGATCTATTGAGGAGACTTCCGCCCCCACCCACCTATACAGTTGCCACCAAGCCGCAGGGATGAGTCAAGGATCCTGGACCTTGACCGAGCAAAAGTTCCAACAGGGTGGCATCAGAAGAGAGTCAAAAGGGCCAAACTTTATGACTCTCGAATCGGAAAGTCGCGGAAAAAGTGGGTCAGCGTCAAGCTACGGACGCTAAAGAAGCGCTTAAACGGGAGGCAACCCGTCATTCAGATAATTAAAATATTTAAAATGACTTATTTATATTTTACTTGCCGCACCAGTAGGGGGCAAGATTTTACTCGTTATACTCTTTTACAGATGGATGTTGCTTGGATGATTCCGCATGGAAACCGCCGCACATTGCAGAACCTGGAAGAGCTCACCTTGCACTCAGAGAAAGCAAGGAAGAAGTTTCTCACTTGGGGAAACACGAAGATGCTCTAGCCTCCCATGGTGTTAGACCCTGCCTATCTGGATGAACTAGGGCACTGGCAGGACATCGATGAGTTTCTGTACAACCCAAAATGGAGGATCCTGCTGTTCCTGCAACCACCAGCAAGCCTGGAAGTCACCATTGAGTTTCTTTGCTCTCTCCACTTCCACAATGACGGAGAGCAAGTAAAGTCAACAGCTGAAGTCACCTCCACCACCAAGGTCACATTCACTCTAATGGGTCGACTGCTGAGCCTTACTATGGCAGACTTAGGGTGGCTGATTGGTCTTTACACACTTGACGAGACGCGGAGCTTGGCCTTTGCTAATCTGCCCGACCAGTTGGATCCGGAGTTCGATGTGAGGAAGTTCTGGAAAGCTCACGGGTATGGACGATATCACAGTGGAGCAAGCATAGCCAGGAATTGGGTGCGTCCGTCTTGGAGGATTTTACACCATGCATTGACTCACAGCTATTTGGGCCGTTCTCGTGACTCCGATGTAGTGTTTGATTCTGATATGCTATTTTTCTGGAGTCTGGAAGCGCGCGTACCAGTCAATTTAGCAACTTTTGTGGCCCGATTCCTATTTGCTCAGTCGACTAGCAACCACCAGTTTGTCTTGTGTGGGCCAATGGTTACGCTTCTGGCCCGAGGATTATGTATGACAGTCCCTAATCTTCTCCCAGAGGCTGCAAGCATATTCCGACCATCGACAAGGTATTTAATCCAGATCGCTTATAATAAGGAGGCACGCCCCAGAAAGCAGCATAGAATTCCCATGACCCTTCGCGAGCTTTCACAGGCTATGTTTGCATTCCAGGATTCTGTGGACTCTCACTTAAGGAGCATGGAGACACTCCTCCTCACGCAACAATGGCAGGTAGAGGAAATACTTGAATACACCCGGGAACAAGGAACAAAGAAGGCTGAGCATGGGGCAGGTCCGAAACAAGAAAAACGTCAGGGATAGTGAGATCCCTAATTTCTTAATACTGCATTCAGAACATCATTTTTTGGATATTTATATGATCTTATTTTGGAATTTCACATTATGACTCTTAAACCCATTTTGAGAAGTTTTATGCATTATTTCATATTTACATGTTATGGTCATTTATTATTTCAGTCTTCATCTTTGAATTTTATAAGTATTGAGATAACTTAGTAATTACATGTGAGCATTTCATTTCAACCATTAACTCCAATTCCAAAATACTTTTAGCCACGAGGGCGTGGTTCCGTTTAAGTGTGAGGAGGTAAGAGTTCTTGGTTGAAATGATCTTTTTAGGAATTGTTTTCTCTATATATTTTTAGGAAAAGATTTTTATAGAATAATCATCAATTTTAATTGTTTGATTAATTACTCTTTAGTTATCACCCGTGGAAATTGGAAATTTTTAAAATTTTTGTCAAACTTCTATTTTTACTCTAACCTTTTGGGAATGTTTTCTGAAATGATTTGGGATAAATTCACAATTTATTAAGAGTTCTTTTTTTAGATCAATTAATTTTTAAGTGCTTTATTGAAAATCTTTTTGCTGGTGCTTTTAGGAGTATCTGTTGTTTCTTGAAAAGAGTTATTTTCAAAGTATAAGGGTTGATGTTTCAAAGTATACTTTGGTGAGACCGAGATTCTTGTTTTAGCCAAAAAGCAGTTGGTTCTAGATCAACTGATGAGGCGTGGTGAGCATGCCGAAAAGCACGTGGTTCTATATTGCGTGATGAGGCCTTTTGAGTGTTAGAGTCAAAAAGCATGCGGTTCTATGTCGTGTGATGAGACTTTCCAGAGTGAATATCCAAAAAGCTCGTGGTTCTATGTCACGGGATGAGGTTATAAATTTTTCTCGTGTCAACATGACAAAGTTGTGCCAAAGAAAATTAAACCCTTACACTTTGACTAATACTTTTGCAAGAACATGTTTTCTAATTTAGTCATTAAAAAAATTATTTGATCTTTAAAGTACTCTTACAAATGTAGTTATCCCAAAGAAAGTTTGGAAAATTACGGTTGTTTAGGTTGATGTAAAAACATTGATTTGACAAAATTCTTTTACATTTCTAACAATATGGGTGAGAATCTAAAGGTTCATTTCCTCTTAACAAAAAGGTTGATGACTATCTTATTTCTTTTTTCCTTCATAATATGTAGCTTAAACCTTCCCTCTGCAATTATTAATTTGNAAAAAAATTATTTGATCTTTAAAGTACTCTTACAAATGTAGTTATCCCAAAGAAAGTTTGGAAAATTACGGTTGTTTAGGTTGATGTAAAAACATTGATTTGACAAAATTCTTTTACATTTCTAACAATATGGGTGAGAATCTAAAGGTTCATTTCCTCTTAACAAAAAGGTTGATGACTATCTTATTTCTTTTTTCCTTCATAATATGTAGCTTAAACCTTCCCTCTGCAATTATTAATTTGTCTTTACACTTATACTTATTCAATTTGTTGCTTGAGGGCAAGCAACGTTTAAGTGTGAGGAATTTGATAAGTCCGTTTCGTTCTTATCATTTACATCATATTCTAAACGTTATTGCACGTAAATAGCATTTAATCATCTCATAAAATGTGATTTTAATGGATAAAACTCTCATTTTCGTTCTAAGAGTCATAAAATGGGATTCCACATGAAATCATCATAAATCATTCATTTTTGTTCAAGTATTTGAGAAAAAGGGAATAAATAATCAAGGGATCAAGATTCGGACTTGAACGAGCTTCTGGGAGGTCAGAAACAGTGTTCGGGGCCAAAACGGAGCGAAATTGGGCCAAAATCACGAAACAGCCGCGAAGCCCAACGGACCAAGGCCCCCAGGCGTCCAACTTGGACGCTTGGCCAAGTTGGACGCTTGAAGTTGGACGCCTGGGCTAGTTTGCAATCCAAGAAAGACACGTGGCAAAATCTGGTTGGCCGGAGCAGCTCAAGCATCCCGATCTGGACGCTTGGACTTGGACGCCTTGGCTTCGTTCCTATAAATACAGCGCGATTCTCCCCATACACTACATCACTTTCATCCACTCTCTCGGGATTTGAGCTTAATATTCCATTTCTAAATATTAGTTTAGCATTTTAGTAGTTTTAGAATAATTTCTGGAGGAATTCTACTCCCGGTCTATTCTGTTCGGCCTTCACGGAAGTTGTAAGTTTACTCTATTTAATAAAATGCTGTTTTAATTCATGTTTGCATAGTATGAGTTAGGGTCCGGATCTCTAGGTCCGGACTAATTTGGTTGTTTATTTTTTATGTTAAATTAATGTTGGAATGGTTAATCTGTTGTTCTTGCCTTATCTAGTTAATTACTCTCGAAAGATTTAATTGGCCATTTATTGAGAAAATATTGTATGCCAAAAGGCTATGATATTCAACTGTCAACGGATTAAGTACAAATCTAGAAATTGATGAGTAGTAATAGAAATATTATTATTCCAATTGTTAATTTAATATGATAAAATAAATTCAAATGACGTCCAAACCCTAGGTCCAGATCTATACTTATACTATGTAAACTTAATTTATTTATTATTTTTACTCTGCCTTTTTTATAGTCGCTCCGAGAAGACTTTCATAAACCAATCCTAATCTTCGCCTAATTAGAGTAATTAAACTAATTCCCTTCGTCCACTCCTCGAGAGATACGACACTCGGAGAGAAAACTGACCCTTTGTTGGGAAGGATTACTACCCGAAAAACTACGACTGTCAGTAGACCACGCATCAATGACTTCTGGTGAGATGTGTTCACCAACATTTAATGTCATTAGATCTCCACGGTCCAAGACCACATTCCCACACTTAAAAATGATTTCATCCCTAATCACAAATAAATTGAGACGTTCAAGTGGAATGAAATTAATGCATTTTGATTTTATTAGCAAGCAACTCTGTGATACCATATCACCTTACCTTGAGGCATCTTTATTTTTCATTACCCACTTCCAGAGACGAGTTTCAACACTGCTCAGATTGTCCTTTGGGTCCACTGCACGTTCCATGTAAGGGGACTTCATAATTCCCGCTGATTTTGCTTATCTCTTGACCCTCTCATCCTCACCGCGTAAAATCTGAGCACTCTAATCACAAAGTAAAAAAATATTAAAGAATTAAAAAAACTATAGCAAAATGCACATCCCCTGTTTCATCTTTCACTGTTTTCTAACTTACTAATACCTGATCTTCCTTCTTTCTTTTCTTTACTAATATCCTGGCAGCCTTTCCGTTTTTCTCTTCCTTTTCAATCTGCATCACATCAAATTCTAAACACATTACGAGTCCTATTCAATATGAATATACGCATTCTGGAATACTGTGATATAGACCTGATCATTAAGCAAAGGGGCAACATCACTTGTCCCTTTGGTTTTCTCAGGGGTTACATCCACTTCAGACATTGGAGCAATTTCAGCATTTATTTGTTTAGAGATATTCTCCACATATATATCCTGCCCGACACTCTCTATCTCCTCCAATATATGCTTCTCCCCAACATCATTCTTGTCCTCCACCCTGATATCAACGTTCCTCGCACCCTGTTTAAACACATGGAAATAAATGCTAAAGAAAACCATAACATCTGAAATTCTTCAGTATCTACAAACACTGAACACACACATACCAGCTCTTCCATGCTGCTTCTCTTTGCACTGTCCATCCCACCTTTGGCACTGTCTCCTTCTTTAGCAACCTACAACACAACACATTTATAAGCACAGTTGATGCATAATACACAGTATGTTATGAATTCTAATATTAGCCATGTATGTGCATTAACCTGGTTATTCATTTCCAAACCCTTCCCGGTTGCATCTCTACCATCCTCACTGGTTACTTGCACAGCTGACTCTGGAGCAACCTCAGTTGTTATATCAGCCGTATAATTGACCACATTCATGTCTTGCTCTGCTGTGTCCATGCCATCCAATATCTGCGTAATTCCAAGGCTAAAGGATGGCATATCATTAATCTGCTCTTCATATTTAGATCTCAACACAACACCCTTTTCCATCTCATCTGCTGCGGACAATAACTCTAGGCTGCTCTAGAAGCTGTCATCATCTAAACCCAGAACTGCATTCCATTTCGATTCTTTTTCATTAGAGCCCTTGGGGTTTACACCAATCAACTTGTTTCCCAAGTCTCTTAATTTACAAAATTTTTTAGACCCTGACAATTCCTTGGGTGCTTCCTGAACCATTGTTATCATGTCAATTATCGTGCTTGCTAGGATCTTGCTTTTGGCTGCAAGTTTCCTCACAAGCACCTAAATCAATGAGAACAAACATCTACTATTATCATTAACACCCACCCACCACGTCACTTAAATAAAAAATGTTCAACATACAATTGCTTTGACTTACCTTCAAATCTTGTTCATCGCTTGGTTGCGCTGCTGATGAATTACCAAGCTTAAGCATTAACGTTGCAGCATTACGTTCAGACATCTCATTCAACTCAATGCGCTTCACCTTATCCAATGGCCCATAGTCATGCCCCGCTCCAAACCCACCACTTCTAACTTCCTCATTCTCCCTTTCGCGTAGCTCTTTCCCAGTCCATCCCCGAAGTGCGGGAAATTTCCTAGCCACTCTTTTTGTGAAAATACCAACACGATCAACATAAAAAACATGTATACAATACAAGTTAGAAGATGCATAATATCAACAACATAGTATATCCAAATGTAAATAACTCATACCATTAATACAAGGAGTGGTCCACAATAGATCTTTCGGTTACTCTTATCCCACTTCAGCTTGTTATCAATCAATTTATCCAAAACATATTCACACCAATTCATTCTTGGCACCCTGTCTACGTGTCTTAAATGGTCTATTACCAAAGTATTGGTGTACCCATGTGAGGTGCTATCCACCATGACTGTCATAACCATCAACACAAAATGCCTTATAAACCAATCTCCGCCGTCTGTACAAGCTAGCATCTTTTCCACCAATTTAGATGGTGTTATCCTGGTTTTAGAATTCCCAAATTGGAGTCTCCACTGCTTTAACAAATTAGTGTCTCTGTTGCTCTTATTATCAATTTTCAAACCCTCACAAGGCAACCCCAAGACATTATGCACATCACTAGACGTGATGTGCAACTTCGCACCCCCTGGAAGTACCAAACTGCAGCTACGAGCATCAAAATTATTCACCAACCAATCGCCAAACCTAGCTGGCAACTCAAGGATGTTCATTCCCAACAAAGACCCAAAACTAATTCTGTTGACGGCTGCACGCTGCACATCATTGAGTTGTTTCAAAGCTTTCGTTATTAAATGGGGCGATGACCTGGATATTAGTCTCTGGTACGGAGCTTTAAAATCAACCAACTTCACCCTTGGCTTTCTCTTGGATGTTTTCGTTACACGCTTCGGCGGGGGATTTTCAAAAGCCTTGTCACTGTCCTCTTCATATATACCTTTGTCCTTGCCGCCTTCACTCTCATCCTCCTCACTGCCACCCTCCTCATCACATTATTCTTCCGGCTCATCATCATAAACTACATCCTCATCTGATTCTCCATCTGAGCCCTCATTACAATCATTTGACTCATCCTCGCACTCATCACTTTTTTCCATATCATCTTTAGTCGTTTCTTCAGCTTCTTCGTCGATATTCATGTGCACGGGTGACCTGTTACGTTGCATCTTCCACAATGCATTCATCAACCTACCACTACGCCGCCTTGGTGTTGTCGACGTCACTGAAATAACACTTCTACTCCCCTCATTCTTTTCTGCATTGGTCACCTCTTTTCCAGCTCCCACTGTTTGAGTTACAAATATATTAATAACTCATTAGAATTTAATCACAGGTATGCTGCTTTAAGAAATAAAACAAAATCATTAACACAACCAACTTGAAACATGTTAAAATTAAAATAACTTTGCTACATACATTATGCACTATATAAAAATCAACTACCAATTACGCAATGCATTAATTCCCATAACAACATCGTTGCATTCCCGTCAAAAATTATAAAGCATCTAAACAACTTAGTATTGCATAATAACATACTGAAGAATGAGACAGATGAGATGCACTGCATATGAGACATCATGCACATTCTACATCACACAAAGGATCACACATTCCCACAATCACAGTGCACATAAACAAAACAACAACCTAAGCATCATTCCCCTCTACCAATGCATCATTCCCCCAAAACCAAACTCCACACCAATCATCTACAATCTGTCAAACACAGGAAGAATGACCAAATAAATGCACCCAACAAATGACACCAAACTTGAAGAAACCATGTACCCCTTAAAAACCACAATCCACTTATACCCTCATTCAGCACACAATCTATTAAACATGGTCAGACTCTAATTCACAAACATCATCCAAATGAAATGCACTGCTTTTGAAACATAATGCACATACTACATCAGATACGGGATCACACTTTCTTACAACCACAGTGCGCATAAACAAAACAAAACCCAAAGGATCATTCCTCCCTACCAATGCATCATTCACCCATGAATAAAGTCCAAAATCATCATCTACAATCTGTCAAACACATGAGGCATGACCTTAAAAATGCACCCAACACATTACACCAAACTCTAACAAACAAGGAACCCCATAAAAACCATAATCCACTTACACCCTCATTCTGCATACACAATATATTAAACATGCTCAGACTTTATTTCACAAACATCACCCATAATTAAAAAAAATTGGTGCATTAGCAGGAAATGCATCCACACCGCACGAATGTGAATCAAATATCACCTGCCCAATTCGAAACCCTTATTCCTAAAAAAAAAACAAATTCAACCCAAATTCAAAAAATAGAGTGCACAAGAAACACTAACACACACATGCAACGCATCCCATCGACTAAAACCCCAAAAAAACCAACCAAACCATACTTGAAAACTTCGTCAATAACTTAAATTACACTTACCCATACCTTGCACAGCATCCGGATGCATTCTATTATTCTTAAAACTCTTCAAATTCCCAAGATTCTTCACAACCCCACTTGTGGCCATCGTGTACTACTGTTTTTCATGCTCTGAGGGTGGTACTCAGCTCTTGGGAAAATCGGAGAAACTAATTTGATGTTTATTGTCTCTGCAGGTTCATGCTTCGTAAGCGGGAAAAGTGGGCTGCGTATAACCAGGCGTATCATTGCGTATCATGATTCCCGATTTTTAATGCAACCCGACTGACTAATTTGCTCTTCTAAGTGATTTTTTCCTAATATAATGCACCACTATTATTACTAACCTAATTTAACATCCGAAATTATGCTTCAATCACAGCCATCCGATGCAGTTAATCTACCCATCCCAATTCATTCTCATTTCTCTCCACAAGGACCATTCTTACAGGAGCCGCCCCCTTGATAATGCAGACAAAAAGCACAGGTCATGAAGCAGCATATTTCTTCACAGCTACTGGTGGTTGATATTGTAAAGGGATATTTGCAAGATTACAACTTCAACCATGGTCCAGTACTCCTTTTTGGTTGTTTTGATCCTTTTGTATTTGGTTTTTCGCTTGGAATTTTGCTTGACTGGTTTGTTGGGGTTAGGCCGCCCCCTATCTTGTACTTCCTTTTTGTTAATAAATTCCCTTTAAATAAATAAATAAATAAATAAATATATATATATATATATATATATATATATATATATATATATATATATATATATATATATAGACACACACACACACACAAAACAAATAATATTTGGTATAACATATTTTTACAAACTTAATTATCATATAATTAAAATGTCCAAATATATATATTTTACAATATTGTGTCACACGCAATATGTAAAAATATTTTACTAAATATTTTCCTTTACTCCTTAACAATATTCTACACCATCAAATGTTCTATGTGTGTGACCCTCTTCTAGGTTACCCATAACATTGGCCATAGTATTAAAATACTACAAGTGACAAGCGGTATCTAGCAACACATTGTCACCCCCAAGTTATAGATATAAAGCTCTTAGAGCAATTTTTCAACAACACATTTCATTTAATAACTCTTATCCCTTTATCACTAATATCTAGATTTAATACAAGGTATGGGATGTGTTACCATGTTAATGTTAAATATGAGGTTTACTGATTATCTTGAGCTAATAGCATGTATATTAATTTATCACGGTATGACCATAAACTTCCAAAGTCACATCAATCAATGGGCATGTAGATATTATACTTCCATAAAGAAAGGGATAAATCATGTCTACATCATTCACATCCTTGCTTAAGTTTTACTACATGCCCAAGACATTATACGTCCACTAATATTTCAAATGGCATTAATTATATCTCAAAGCATGTAGCTATGCTTACTAAGAATTGTAATGACTTTAAGTCTAAGGATAGTTATAAAAATGGTCGTATGAAAATACTATTAACACTTTTCAAGGTAAACCATATACTATTTTCATGGCGGGTCAATCCAGCAATATATCCAATATGTTCGCCTACGTATAGATTCAGATAACACCTTATCTGTATCCTATGAGACGCAGCTATCTCATCTCATACGTATTAGTCTTAATATATTATGACATTCGTATTATCATAATATTGGGCTAAGGATATTTTAGATCCAGTCTATATAATTGTAACAATCTCATAATCAAAACATCGTAGTTCTCATCTATGTTCCTAGAGCACTAATCTATGGATTGAAGCTATGTCTAAAGTACACGAGATTATTTAAACATTCTTCAAAGCCTTTATTCTTGAAATAATCCAGATACAAATCATAAGCTAGCCTCTAGGACTTTACATATATTCAACAATCTCCCATTAGCACTAAGGCCAATTATGCATTTCTTGATTGCCCATGGACAAAGTGTGACCCTCGTGCTTAAGCCTTCCCAGAGCTTTGGTCAGTGGATCTGCTACATTGTCATATGTTCATATTTTTCAAATTTCTACATCTCCACGTTCTACGATTTCTCGTATCACGTGATAAGGTCTTACAATGTGCTTGGTTTTCTAGTGAGACCGTGGTTCCTTAGCTTGTGCGACGGCCCCAGTGTTATCGCAATACAAGGGAATAGGGTCTGGACTGCTTGGAACCACTCCAAGTTCTGTGAGGAAGTTCTTTATCCAAACACCTTTGATAAGTCGTTTTTGGGTTAGTACTTTTTATTCTTTTTTAGGCATTTTAAATATTTTTAATGTATAATTTTTAGTTTTTTTGCATAGTTTTTTTAATTTTTATTTTTACAATCATTTAATTTTCTTTCATGAATAAAAGCATTTAAATCATTTTTTTACATTTTATTATTTTTATTTTATTTTCTCTAACCCAAATTATGAGATATCTTATTTTTTGGAGAAAAGTGCAGCGAAAATCAAAATTAAAGTTCAAGTTTGGAAAGAACAGATTCAGTTTGGGTCGGAGTCCAAATCCATTACAAAAAAGTACTTAGCCCAAACAATTCTTGGTCAATTAATGAAATAAAAAAAAGGGGAAAAAGAAAACGGCGTTTTTTCATAGGAACGAGCGACCATTCCAGCGTTTCTTCATCGCAACGATCGACCATCAATTTCGTCATTCAAGTCTCCAATGGGTAGAAATTCAACAGTAAAATGCTCTTTCTTACTATAAATTGAGGACGAATTGTAAAAACAAAGAGGGGGGGGCTAATCGAACGAAAATAGAGCAGCGGCTATGGTCGCTACGATCTACGCACGATGGCGGACGACGATGGAGGACAGTGACGACTAGCGGCGGCGACCTCCAGCTTCGATTATGGTTCCAACAGCTCCAATTCTTCACCTTTCATCTTCTTCTTCAACAAATTGGTAACCCTATATGTTATTTCTTCAATTTTTTTCTCCAATTCTTTTTAAAAGTTTTGTTTTTAGTTAAATTTTTACATTTTTGTTTGTTTGTTTGTGTTAATTTCGAAAATTCCAAAATGGTTGGTGTTCTTTTATGGTTTTTTTAATGTTTATATTAAATCTCTTATGAATGAAAATTGATTCTTATTAAATTTTATTTAATTGTTGTGCAAATTTGATATACCCCGGGATGCACCTTCACACACGCCACTAGTGTTACAACAAGTCAAGTGTTTAATGTCTAGGTGTTATGATCAATTTTGGGTTGAACTCATTGACCCATCCCACATAAAAGCCCGAACCATGACCCTTCTCTCCCAAAACCCAACCTAGGCCGAAATGCCTACAAGCCCAACACACTCCCACATATCCAAAAGTATTTCATTTTCCTTTAATAACCAAAATAAAGTCCTTCACCTCCCTTTGAAGCCATGGCTGAAAATCTAAGAGATAAGGACAAACAAAATTGCTTTGTGTGTGTTGTTTTCTTTCCTAATATTCCCTACTTTGAATAAAACCTTCCCCCACCTTTCCCTACTTCAAACCCACGAAAATACATTCCCTTTTGGCCTTAGAATCCATCTCCATTCATCCCAATCCATTACAAAACACAAAAGACCAAATCAGGAGACAAGGATTAAACATGTCTTTTGTCTTGGTGTGAAAATCATTCAAAACCATCCCCCC